TCTCCAGAACTTGTCTATAAAGAGATTCCACCTCCAAAGCAAGTCTAAAGACACTCTGCCTTCAGTTCGTCTACAACAAGGCTCCACCTTCAAAGTTCATATATAAAAGTATTTCACCTCCAGAGCTTGCATCTAGTGATCTATTCTCCAGAATTAGTCTATAGAGAGACTAGGCCTCCAAAGCCAGTCTAAAGACATTCTGCCTCAATAGCCTGTCTATAGAGAAATTGGCTCAAGAATTCGTCCATAGAATGACTATGCCTTCCGCTCGTCTAGAGAGACTCCGCCACCAGAGGTAGTTTATAGCGACTCCACATCCTGAGCTCGTTTATAGAGACTTCGCCTCCAGAGGTAACCTCTAGTGACCCTATACCGAAAATAAGAAAGACTCCGCCTCCAAAGCTTGTCTATAGAGACTCCACCTTCTAATCCATATCTAAAGACACTCAGCCTTAAATTCGTCTACAAAGAGACTGTGTTTCCGTCTATAGAGACTACGCTTCCATAGCTCCTCTCATCCTCATCTTTCAAAGATAGTCCATAGAGGGAATTCTCTTCATTAGCTAGTCTACATAGAATACGGTTTAAGATAATCAACCACCAGAGTTCGCCTCTTGTGACCCAGTTTCCATAGCTTGTACTTAGAGAGACTCCGGATTACAAGAACGTCTAGCGAAACTCTGCCCCAATGTCTACAGAGAATTTGGCTCAAGAGTTTATCAATAGAGACATCGTCTCGCTATAGATCCCCCCCCAGAACTTGTCTTTGGAGACTCCGTCTCCAGAGGTTCTTCATATATAAAAAACTTCGCCTCCAGAGCTCGTATTTAAAGACCCCGTCTCGACAGCTTGTCTATAGAGAATTCTCTCCATCTCTGTTCAGAGACTCTGCTACCAGATTTCACCTATAGAGTAAAGCTCTCTCATCTATTGAAATTCCGCTGATTTTGAAAATTCGAAAGACTTTCCTCTTTTAAAGCTCGTCCTTAGAAAGATTTTGTCTCCAGATCCCGTATATAGTGACCAGAGACTCCTCTCTGTTGTCAAGCAGACCCCGTTCGTTTTACCTCTTCTACAAAGAGCCTGTCTCTTAAGTCGTAGACTTCCGCTCCAGTAATGAGATTTAGCCTGAGCCTTCATCTTATCTATGGAGACGGCCGTAAAGACATACTTCAGCTCGTTTTTAGAGCGTCTATGGAGTCCTCATCCGACTCCTTTTATAGAAAGTGCTTCATGTATTTTTAGCCCCAAATCTTCAGCTTTTTATAGAGGCGACCCCCAATCGACCCCCCAAATTGAGTCTCCCATTTCTCCCATCTTTTGAGCCTCCTTTCAGGTTCTCTTTTTTATAAGAGTCAACCATAATCTAGGGTTTTTGTTTAACAAAATTCAAATTATGGTTGATGTGTTTTAGTAAATTGATGAAATTCAGGTCCCAGTAAATTGACCAAAAATAAGTTACATTTCCTAGAATTTATCCACAGAAAAAATCGGCTACAAATTGAAGTGGCCATAAAACATAAAACCAAAAGGATCCCTACGAACGAAAAAAACATGTAACACATTTTGTAAAGTTTCAAATTCAATTTACAGTTTTGGATAACATCGCCACCTCAACTGTGCTCTTGACGCAGCACTCGCTCACTTACTCCGTTTCCACACTACTGAATCTAAGTGAAAACATCATCGACATGGCTCATCATAATCTATATGAACTTCTACCTAAAGGATACAAAAAATATCCTTCAAATCCCAAAGGGATTGTTTTTGTGTGTGTGTGCGTGATTCTCACTCTCTCTTTTTCGTTATGATGCAACTGTTAAAATATATCCAATAATATTTTCCACTTCTTCATCTTCACCGTTATGTTTTTTTTTTTCTATCTCCCATTTTTGCCAGGCGTGTTATGTTTGAATGCGTTTTTAGAATTCATGATGAGCTGCTAGAGTAGAACGCTTCGAGCTGATTCAAGTTTCCTGTTTTCTTTTTTCATTTTCCATTTCATTTTCTGCTGCCACCGCTGTTCGAGCTTCATATTATTTTCATTTGCCCTGAAAATGTTCATTTTACACCAAAAGCAGAGAGCAAAAAAAAAAACCAACAACAATAGTAGTTTGAAAAAAACGAAAGGGGTTTTTTCACTTTCAAAAATGGAATTGCACTTTGACCGGATATAAATTGTTGCTGGCAGCTGTTGAATATGCTGTTTCATTTAGTTTTCGTTACGTTTCGGATTTTGTGTGTGTGTGTGTGTGTGTGTACGTCTGTGTTGTTGGTTCGATTTGAAACGTACAAAAAATATTTATTTTCTATGACGTGATGACCATAACTAAGCTAAGAGGAGAAAGGGAGAGATGAATGAAGTGAAATGTGGTCCGAACGAAAGTAAGTAAGTAAGACATAAGTGCTTAGGTTTCATGCTTAATGTCCAATGAAAATGCCAAAAATATCGACATTTTTCAAATTGTCTAGTAATGAGGGGGGAAAGATGAATGAAGAAGACTGCTGATGTATCTTTCTATCAATACATTGTCAAAAGGATGATTAAATTATGAAAAAGGGAAACGTTTTATTAACCGAATTGAATGGGTAAGTTTGATTGTGGTGGGAAATAAGAGATTATTAATATTGAACGTTTAATACACATTGAATCCAGCTTTTTTTCACCAAGTTAGAAGCCAGAGTTACAAGGGCTGTAGCCGTGCGGGGCCGACCACGTGATACCCTACAACACTACAATATGTCAGAAGCCCACTTATCCCCATATCCATTTTGGAAGATTTCGCTTTTGAAATCATGTCACGGAGGACTGCCCAGATATTACTCTTAGCATTTTGAACAGGGAGATTTCCCAATATTTACGCACTCCGTCGTGCTTTTAGTTGTTGTGGTCCATTTTACAGCTAAATATAATCCAATGGTCATCCAAAATTTTAGAATTCTTCCCTGTCGTTAACTCTCTTCTCAGGCGAGTCGATTGGCTTCCATTGTGTGATCTGGAATTTTTTATATTGCGGACATCTTTGAAAACAAGAGACCTAGCCCTTCTGAGCCTAACCCTACCCTTGTGACAATTTTCGTGAGGATCGGACGATAATTGCAATCTGTATATAACAACCCCAACTTGTGTTGTAAGTTGAAAAAAATATTACAAAATATACACTTCAATATTTTAAGTCAAATTGAAAAAATCGCATGCAATAAAAAATATGAGAAAATAAAAAAAATGTCACAACAAAACTTCAAAATCCTGTCCTGCTTGATTCTTGAGATATAAACATTTTAGCTAACATTCCTTTCCTTGTATATATCCTTGTATATATTTTGCAATATATATATCCGATATATTTACTATCGGCATCTACGTAACGGTCAGAATTGACCTGTTCGTCTATTTGTGATTTCGCCGGGATTGAAAATATTCGCGGTTTAATGGAAAATTTGACTTTTATTTAACATAAATGTTATGGTCTATTTCACCCACTAAATATTATCCGATGACCATCAAAATTGGAGAACTTCTGCCCAGCCCTAAGCTCTAGCCCCATGCTTTCGCTTTAATTAGTCTACAATTGCGACCTGTAGAGAAACTGCAAAATCAGGAAATTTTTCAGTTTTTGGTCCATTTCAACCCCTAAATATTATGCGATCATCTCCAAAAGCAATAGGGTTCTATTCTGACCCTAACCCAATCAATTTTCAATTTCGGCCATAATTGCGACTTTAGCTTTATTACAAATTAACATTGACAGATGGACAGATGGACGGACGGACATAAATAGCTAGATCGACTCAGCTCGGAGAGATAGGAATATCCATAAATACTTTCCTATGTGGAAAACCAATATTTCGAGGTGTTACATAGTTTTTGGCCCAATCAAATTTATAATACCCCCAACACATTGTGTTGTAGGGTATAAAAATTGAACAGCGATTATAGCACCAATAGTTCAAATCCATTATTGTCATAAAAAATAAATGAAAAATCAGCGATCATAACTTCAATAGTCCTTCTTTCGAATAAAGACTCGATAGATTTTAATATTCATTTCCAAAACCACCTCCTTTCTGATACATACAGAGACATTAATATCAAAATTGGGGATTTCAACTTTATCCCTTTATCCAGTACTAAATTCAGTACCATTTAGTACTTTTTGTACAAATATAGAACGCATTTTCAAACCACTGCCAAATCTCAAACACCGATACCATCACTAATCTAAATATCTAATTTCAGAATTTTATCCAGATCCCTTCACCTAATGCCCAAAAAAATAGTACCATTTAATACTTTTCGTTCAACCTCCATATGCCAATGCTACACGAACCTAATAACAAATTTCAGATTACAAGCAATTTATTTTCACCCAATACCGAATTGTATCAAATATTGTATCATTTCGTACTTTTCGTGCACTTGTTGAAAAAAAAAAAACATCTAATTTTTACAAACCTACCGCCAACAGGGACCCAAAAACAAAAGTTCAAAATTCCAGATTCATGCGCTCATCCTAAACCAAACCGTTCCAATTTGATATCAACCGCTTTTATATATCAAAATTTCTATATATCCTGCACTGATTCTCCTACCAAATTTCAAGTTTTAATATCTTAATATCAAATGGTATCATATTAGAAGTTTAGTACCATTTTAAAACTTTACAAAACCTTAAAGCTCGAATTTCTAAAAACCGTTTGATGCAGCTATCCTGCACTCCGTCAGTGAATCTCATTCCAAATTTTAGAATTCTAGCTCATTCCTCTTGTCCAATACCATGTATTCAATTTTTATTACTTTTGTACCCCTTGTGTACCAATTTCCAAAAATTCATTTTTTAACACGCCTAAGCGCTCCCGCAAAATTTCCTGATTCTAGCTCTAGCCATTTCGTCCATTTCACTACTTCTTTATAAAAATATATATATAATTCATCACATTATTGATGTCAGTTATTAATTTCTGATAATAAATTAATAAAATATATTTTTTTTCATTTCAGGATATCAAATATAACCAAATCAGGCAGTTCCTCTATGATTAAAAAGGTATGTATTACAATTGAATGCTTTATTATTCTGGACTTTCCCAAGGTTCTTTTGTTACACTAATTATCTTAGTAATCCTCAAAATTAATTTCATAAATAATATCTGAGCGATGTATTCGCTAAAATTATATTTTTTTATATTATTTAATTCTACTAGAATATAAACACACACAAAAAATAGCAAATAAATGTTGATAATTCCTTCACTTAACTTAGACTTACCAAACATTAGATTACACCCTTCCATTGAAATTTAATGACCACTTTTATTCGATTTTCCCTGAACAACCCACTCTAGGTGAGTCATTCATCTATTCATTCTGTCAGCATAAAACAACAAAGCAATTAAAACAAAAAATTAAATGGAAACTTTTTCTGATACTCATTTACAACTTTCAATGAATAAATATTTACATCTGTTGCCTAGTCAAGTTTAATTTTGTTATCTTTTATTTTATGGCTTGTCAAATGATGTGTGTGTATGGCTTTGTGATTTCGCTGGGATTTAAAATATTCGCGGTTTAATGAAAAATTTTGAATTTTTTCAACAAAAAAGATATGGTCTATTTTACCCGCTAAATACAATCCGATGACCACCCAAATGGGTAGGCTTCTTGCCAGCCCCAAACTCTAGCTACATGCGAATTCCGCGTCGATTGGTCTATAATTGCGACCTGTAGAGCAAGTGCAAAATCAGGAATTTTTCAGTTTTTGGTCCATTTCAACCCCTAAATATTATGCGATCATCACCAAAAGAAATAGGGTTCTATTCTGACCCTAGTCCCACCTCCATTTTAAATTTCGTGAAGATCGGACCATAATTGCGACCTGTAGAGTGATTACAAATTAACATGGACAGACGGACGGACGGACATACATAGCTAGATCGACTCAGCTCGGCGAGCTAGGAAGATCCATATATACTTTCCTATGTGGGAAATAAATATTTCGTGGTGTTACATAACTTTTGCCCAATCAAACTTATAATACCCCCAACACATAGTGTTGTAGGGTATAAAAATAATTCCCTGCAAAATATCATTAACAAGTAAGCAAAGGCTATAGTCGTGCGGGGCCGACCTTGTGATACCCTACAACACTACAATAATTTAGAAGCCCCCTTATGACCAAATACATATTGAAAGATTTCGTCGTGTTGTCAGGTATTCAAAAAAAATTCACAGGAAAATTGTAGTCCATTTTACAATTAAATACACCTAAGTCTGTTTTTACACGGTCTTTTTGTACACGGTTTTGATATAACACTGTTTGAAAATTGAATACTTTTAATTTATTTACACGATTTTATTCCATTTAGCACAATTTGAAATTTTATGTACTTAAATTTTTTTGTCAAATTTAATTTTTGCGAAGTATGTTCATATCACAAAAAGTATTTATGAAAGAAAAAAGTCTGAAACCATCGATAGTATCGATAGTTTGCGAACACTAGCTTAAAGATTTAAGTGAATTCCCCTTTAGCGCGTACAAACAATTTTTACTGGTCAAAGCAAATGTGTATAGCACTATGTGCATACAATAAAATTTACTGGTCAGAGCAATTGAAACGTGTTAATATTTTGTGAACTGTTAATGCAATAAGACGTGTTTGGTAAAGAAAAAAATAAAAATTCATGTTTTTCACTACTTTTAATAGGTTTTAGAGATTAGGAACAAATCACCCATTTTTGTATAAGATCAATGTCTTTTTTACACGGCTTCTTCTGGAACCAATCTACCGTGTAAAAACAGACTTAGGTGTATAATCCAATGATCATCCAAAATGCTCGGGGTCTTCCCTGTTCTTAACCTCTCCTCATGCAAAATTCCGTTTCGACTGGTTTCAAATTGTGACTATTATATCGTCTGCAAAGTCAGGAAAATTTTCATTTTTTTGTACATCTTCAAAAACAATAGGCTTTATTTCTGAACCTAACCCTTTCCCTGTGCCAAATTTCGTTAGGATCAGACGATAGTTGTGACCTGTATATAATACCCTCGAAACATAGTGTTGCAGGGTGCAGAAAAAATTTTGAAAACGTACAATTCAAAATTGTAGGTCAAATTGAAAATATAGCATTCGATAAAAAAATATGACAATAATTGAAAAAATGTAACAAAAAATGTCAACTTTTTTGTTGGCAGATTTCTACGCGATTTTTTTAGATTCTACCCATTTCTGGCAAGAGCCCATTGCAAATTAGTGAAAATTGTCAAAATCCGTCCAGCGGTTCTTGACTTATAAGCGGAATAACTAACATACATTTTATTTACATATAGATTGTTGCTATTTCGCTACATATCCGATATATTGGCTATCAGCATAGCTGTGATGGTCGTATTTGTTGACATAAAAGTTATGAGTTATTTTACCCGTTAAATACTGTCCGATGGCCGTTCAAATTGGTAGACTTCTGCTCATTCCTAAACTCCAACTCCATCCAAAATTCCGTGTTGATTGCTTTATAATTGTGGCCTGTAGAGTAACTGCGAAATGAGGGAATTTTTCAGATTTTGGTCCATTTCAACCACTAAATATTATACGATCATCTCCTAAAACAATAGGCTTCTATTCTGACCCAATCCCCACCTCCATTTTCAATTTCGTGAAGATCGGGCCATAATTGCGACCTGTACTTTGATTACAAATTAACATGGACAGACGGACGGACGGACAGATATATATTTTCCTATGAGGGAAACCAATATTTCGAGGAGTTACATAATTTTTGGCCCAATCAAACTTATATTACCCCCAACACATAGTGTTCTATGGTATAAAAATCAGGCTTATTGTGTCACAGTCTTTGGAAAAAAATAGTTTTCAAAAATCCACACTTCTTAAGCAAATATTCGTAAAATATCCTCTATTATGGCATTTACACTCCTTGGAAAAATTTCCAAAAATATATAAGTCCACGCTATGGACTTATAAATCCATGATTGCAGTCCTTAGTAATTCTACGATTGTAGTCCTTCATATACCTTTGTATAAATTCACGGATGTAGTCCATTATAAATCTATGATTAAAGTCCTTTATTAATCTTCGAGTAGAGTCTCGAAATTCCGTCATATATTCACGATTAAAGCCCTCATAAATCCTAGAATAAAACGTAGATATTGCTTCACAAATCCACGGATATAGTCGTTCATTAACCCAAGATTGTATTCCTTTGTTGTTTGAATGCAGTAGAATATAGTCCCTCATAAATCCCCGATTGTTTCCTTTTATAAAACAACAAATGTAGACCTTCATAGATCCAAAAATACAGCCTCGATAATCCCTCAGAAATCCACAGCTAAAGTCTTTCATAAATCTACGATAATAGTCCATCATAAATCACCGAAAACCGTTTCGATAGTTCTTCAAAACACCGCGTCTATAGTCCTCTATAATCGGATGGACGATAGTCGTCTTCCATAAATCCACTGCTATAGTCCTTTAGAAATCTATAGTCCTACATATATCCTCAAATACCACCTCAATAGTTTTTCATAAATCCCTGATTTTATTCATTTCAAATTCTATGATTCTAGTCCTTCATAAATCTTTTATTGAAAGACCTTTATAAATCGACGATTATAGTCCCTCATAAGTCCTGGAACACAACCTCGATATTCTTTCCTAAATTCTTGCCTATAGTCCCTAATAAATCCACTATTACACTGCTTTATAAATTCTCGGAATTAACACAACCTTGATAGTCCTTCTTAAAACCACAAACCAACCATAAAAGTTCTTCATAAATCCTGGAATGGATCCCCGATAGTCCTTCAAGGATTCATGAATGGACTATATAAATTTTATGGTTCCTCATAAGTCCTCGATAGCCCTTCATGAATCCTCATATAGAGTCCTTCATGTATTCCAGGCTATAGTCCTTAAAAAACCTACGACATACTCAAATCGACTATTGCACACCTTACTATATACTGAAATTCACCCTTGATAGACTTTTATAAATTTATAACTATAGTCCTTCATATATTTACGAATTAAGACACAAAAGACCTTCATAAATCTTCGAATAAATTCTCAAAATCCGTCATAAATAAACGATTACAGTTCTTCATAAATTAAAATATAAGTCCTTCACAAATCCTGAATTATATCCGTTCAGAAATTCAGGGTTATAATCCTTCATAAAATCGATAAAGTCGATAGTTTGTCAAAGTCCATTATTATAGGCCTTCTTATGTCCTTTATTATAGTCCTAAACAAATCCTCTAGCTAAGCCTCAATAGTCCTTTAAAAATTAACGATTATAATACTTTCCTAAATCTTCGAATGAAGCCTCAATATTTCTTGATTAATTCAAAATTAAGCCTTTACTAAATCTCATATTATAATGTTTTACAAACCTGTCTTTCAATATCCATGAATAAAAACTCTGTCTTTAGAAAATTGCAAGTAAGAATCCGATACGAATTTGTCATTATCATAATATAGTTTAGATAATAATATACGATTATATTATTAGTCTACTTTAATAGTATAGCTTAAAGGTCTTAAAAAAAAAATAGAAAAATAAGAAAAAAAAGAAAAAAATCTTCCACAAAATGCTTCGAAGAAGATAAAATTATAGCCCCAATAGTCCTTACTAAATCAATGATTATATTCTCCCTAAAAATTTAATTCATTTTAAATAAATATTTATTGTATAGGTTATCTCATGGTCGGCTACACGACTTGTTGTAACCGATTTTATGTTCTTCAACTCTTCCGGAATTACCATAGACCGGAGTAATTTATATAAAACTGCATCAACTTTCACGTAAGAAATGAGCTTGGCAATAGTCAGACGGACCATGATAACATTATTTAAATTGAAACTGCTTATTTTTTACAATATCGCAGAGCATCACCACCAACAATGGCAGCAACTCTAAAGTAGTTCCAACTCCTCAAATCCCTCACTCTAAGTCATTCATCTGCCTTTTTTCGAACAGAGAGGATACCTTAAACTAAACAAATTTAAACAAATGACTTACATTTCAG